TACAGCAGACCACAGGAAAGCTGCCCTCTTTTTCTAGCCAAATAGACAAACGCGAATTTTTTTTGTCACACTCTGTAGATAGAAATGAAAGTCAAATTGGCACTGATGCTTCAAGACTAGCTTGTCGTAGGCGATACATTCTTGCAAGACATTATTTGTTCGCTGAGAATGCATGTCAGCTGGTATGGATGATGGAGGATTAGCACATTTTCCTCGAAAGCGCCAACGGACAGTCTTATTGAAATTAGACTACAAGAGCTGAGGTCGCATAAGGTCATACTTTGCTTATGGTTGAGTTTTCCCACAGTCATGCGAGTAGACCTTATAATGCCCTTACATTTCGTCTGACCTTGACTCATAAAGGGTTCTCATCCAGGTTCAATCTCGCCTGAAGCTCATGAGCACCTCCGACGGGACTCGAACCCGACTAGGATGGCGTATACTTTCGACATGTTGCCACAACTCTCAAGCCAGTTGGTACTAGTTACACATGAAGTGTATTCATTCGATTGCCTTTAAGGTGATTAAGGGAGTTATAGTCGAATTTTCGCACAATTATATGAGTTTATCTTATGTTACCATTCAATTTCACATAGCCCTGCTTTCGCAGAAGTTATGCTCTTCCAGTCTGAACTGCCGTTTCGACCTCCCCTAGGCCTTATCAACACCCCCAACGGGACTCGAACCCTGACAGTGCAACGTATAATCTCGACACGTTAACCACTACGCCACAATGCCACGAGTTCCTTGAGCCACAAGGCAGATGTGCATTTCAAGGAAGGACAGGCATTCTTCTACATCACATTCTGTGGTGGGATTGTCAATGAAGCCAAGTTGTATTTGCTAAAGTAACCGAACATACTACTTATTTTTCGTTCATAATTAGATTTCGTGACCGGCAGTGGGTCATTTAACTATGAATTGTAGTTACAGTTGCTAAGGAAAATGAAACTTCGTTTCACTAACAATCCCACCACAGAATGTGATAAGGGAAGATGTCTGACCTTGCCTCTCTTTGACCCAAAGGCAGTCGTAGAAATGTGGTATAGTGGCTAACGTGTCGAGGTTATCTGGTGCACTATCACGGTTCGAGTCCCGCTGATCATGCATTTTGGGAAGCAAGGCCATGTGAAATTTAATGGGAACATCATATCTACTCATAGCATTGCGTGGAAATTCAACTACCACTCCCTAATCACGTCGAACGAAATAGAATGAATACACTTTATATATTAATGATCTACTGATAGTCGTATTTGAGTAGGGTTTCGAGACTGATAGTCTCGAAAACCTACTTATGAACGAAAAATATTCATATTATTGTCGGCAGGATTCGACAGGCAGCCTTTCTTCAGCTTATGCAAACTAGAGTGACTTCAACTCATATTCAAGCTCTACTGATAATATCAAAGTCTAGTAAAGTTGAATATAAATGAAAGGATAACAGGCCATTTAAAACCAGGTGTACATTTTTGGGGAGATATAAATAAACACACTTTCAAATTGAAATAAGCTTCAAGCCGGAATTAATCTCACCAAGAGCCTCCTCAAAGATCAGTTTATTCACACTTAGTCTAACTATGACTTCTTCTTAAAGTTTATTAGGCTACTAAATTCAGAAGTGTATTATTTGAGGACTTTTTCTGACGTATTTTTAAGAAAATTATCATCAAATCATACAAATAATAGGGTTAGTCTCCTCAGGTTGCAAAAGGTGATGAAGGAATGATAGTGGATTTGTAACCACAATGATTTTGGTGGACCTTGGAATTCCATTGAATTTCACATAACCGTGACCCCTAAAGGGTATTTTTAACCCGACTGTATCGGACTGCAGTTTCTACTTTGTTGTATCTCATCAGCACTCCCAACGGTATCTGAAAGCGTTCGTGCGCACCATGGCAACACCTTGCCACTACTCACACAACCATGAGTTTCACTGGGCTCACAGGGCAGATGTGACATTTACGACAAGCCAAGCTTCTTCTAAAACGAATTCACACAGAGATTTTCGATGAAATAAACGAATATTTCACTTTTATAATCGATCATGCTACTGATATTGTTGTTAGTAGGTTTCGAAGCTTAACATAGATGGACTAACCAAATCCTTCAATATTTCTATCCTTCGCTCAGTCTTTCCTCCCATTTATCTAGCCATATAAGTATTTAGTTATTTATATATATATATATCAACCTTTCTTAATCTTACGCGGACTAGGTCGTCTCAGACCCTTATTCTGGATCTACTGATAGTACCACCAGATAATAGCAGACGGATCTACGCCAATCCCTTTTTCCAACAATTGAAGTCTAACTGAAAGTCAGGTAAACGCCAATGCGCAATGAATGTCCTGAACACCCAATTTATTTTCAAGCATGGAATAGCGCATCACTTTTCCCACTTACTTCAGAAGTGTCGCATTCAATGTAGAGCGGTTGTTCGGAACGCATTATCTCCATCGGCTCGATGTCAACAACAGAGTCGAACTCCGTAACTTCGTCGAGGTAGATGCTGCTCGGTCGCGATGTCGATGATGTCTCTGAGGCCCGAGCCTCTGAGGCCGCGTATCTGCTCGACGAGTCATTGAAACTGCCCAGCTCGCCCTGGCCAGTCATCGTCTGTCTGAAAGGGTGGCCAGAGATGCGCAACGCTGAAGGACTGGCTCCGACAGCCTCGGTCCCGGGAGCCGGGAGATGATGCGCTGTCTTCGGCGCCTCGAGGCCGAAGGACGAGGGGTTGGCCGTGCGTGGGCACGAAGTGTTGCGAGACCGTGCCGAGTAGATGGTCTTCACGGAAGCAGTTGTCTCCTCAAACCGACTCCTCAGAAGCGGATGGTACTGCGCAACGAGAGGGGCATAATAGAGCACAATTATTTGCAAGTCAGTCCACATCGACAGAGTCTGGAGGAATAGAATTGCGAGATATAACAATAGGCCTCACAATGCCAGTGGATCTCAAACATTCTTGCTTCCAAATAAGGCAACCTCATCCAGGCTGGAGTGGACTTTAGATATGACTTCAACTCATCCTCTCAACAGTACCCACAGCGGGACTCGAACCCGCAGATTTATATATATATATATTCGATTGGATATATATATGTGTATATATATCCTTCATTTTAACACGATTTCATGTATATATCATATATATTGATTTTCATATTTTATTATTATAATTATATCGTTGTATGTGCGTTCATGTGTATACAAAGATTCGAATTAGTTGCAATAATACCACCCTACCCCGACTATGTCTGTCTTTTCAACAGGACAGGAACAACCTTCGAGTCCCTTCATCAAAGATTGTTCTCGAAATCGAAGTGAGACAAATTGTTGTGGGAAAGTGGGCAAGTACCACCTTCTGATAGAAGTGGGTTGACCTCGTTGTCGCAACTTGGTCTTGTTGTCAGGACGACTCAGTAGAATGCACCGAGTTCGAAGTCGTCTGCCATAGTAGTTGTCATGATTCCCAGCATCTGACAACTACTATGGCAGACGACTTCGGACTAGATGCGTTCTACACGGTCGCCCTGACAACAAGACCAAGTTGCGACAACGAGGTCAACCCACTTCTATCAATCGAAAGGAGACTG